TCTGAAAGCAACTTGAGCGCCTGTTGGCCGTCATTGAGCTTCTGTTTTGGTATTGTGCTTTGGTCTGGTCCAACTTCTCCTGGAGATGAGTCTTCATCATGGACAGGTGTTTCAAGTCTGTGACTTGTCCCTTCAACTTGATGGCGATGTCTTGTTCAGAGGCCGGGGCTGGTGTTGTGAGGCGTGTGACTACCTCTTGGACTTGAGCTGGCAGAGACGCCATGTGTGTTTTGAGCATCTCATGGAGATCTGGCTCTGGAGGTTTTTTGGGTCCAATGCCAAGGTGCTGAAGCTTGTCCTGGAGGTCGCTGGACATACCACTCCATACCAGGAGTTCAGTGGCTTCCTTTTGAAGCTTGTTCTTCTTCAATGGCTTCAACTTTCCCAGTCCTGGTGGCGCCTCGAGCCATGTAGTTTGTCTCGATGTCTCTGCTTTCCAAGGCCTTCCTTGTCCTTTTCCTTAGCCCGTGCCGCCCTGGGTGACTTTGAGGACAGGCCACCATGTGCCACACATGCGGCATCTCGTGTCCGGCCTGAGCTTGTCTTGCCAGATCCAGTTCGTGCACAGGCCTTGTCGGCATGTGACATAGCTCCGGCACCATGAGGTAGTTCTGGAGGCTGTCATCGATCAGGTTGAGAGACACCTCAGAAGAGTCCTGCAACCTGGTGAAGAGGCACTGACCGGGGCTCCGATCACGATCAGGCTCAAGAGATTGGCAATGATGAAGTGCCAGTATCCTCCAGAAACCCCGAGGAGGTAGCCAGGCGAGCACTGCCAGGTGCAGAAGGTCACGACAGGAATGTCAAAGGTGTTCAGCTGATTGCGAGCAAAGAATGTATTGCAATCGGTGATCTCAGTGATCAGGTCGTTGAGGTAGTTCGTGCTATGCTCGCAAAGGCCTTCCGCACTAGGTGGGCTTCAGGGGCGGCCACCTTGAGCACTAGTGGCCTTGAGCCATGTATGTATGTATGTATGTTTATGCATAGAGGGGGGGACCATGATGGGAGGAGACCTTCCCACAGTGCGGCTGTTAACAAGCGAGCCACTGCCTTGTTTTTTATCTGTGCACTTCTCTCGCGTCTGGCCAGTGGGTGCGGAAGTGCCATGTCACTTGGATCTGAAGCAGGCGGCATCTCTCCCATGAGACCTCCAAAATGTCCTGGTGAGCTGTAGGCGTAGCCATTGCATGACGCCCCAGGTGTGCACGCCAGCTTCAGAAATGTTCTCGGGGTTTCTTCCCTTGTTGCATCTTGTTGTTGGAGGCTCTTACACAGTTCGACGGTGTTATTGGAAACTCGCTCTTTGGCCAACATGACAATGCACCTGAAGACAAAAGTGGTAAGCACGTCGCTTTCCTCCCTGCTTAGCGCTGGGAGGTTCTTGCTGTATCATGCTGTATCATCATACATCATGGCCTCTCACCTTGGCCATACGTTCATGTGACTTGAGATTCAGTACCAAATGTTTTATACCAGCGCCTGTCTGGCCAATCACCTTTTGTTGCCACCAACTCAACATGTTTGATGCCACCGTGCTGCTCCTGCCTGCAACACCTGGCAGGCAGAGTTTGTGTGCTGTAGGCCGTGCAGTGGCATCAGCCTAGGCCACATTGTTAACGCTTCCTAGCAGCCCGTGGATTACGCAAGGTCTCGCGGTCGGATGTGGGCGAACTCCCGCATCCGCCCCCGAATTGGGTTGTAAGTTGTACACTGATTGCTTGACTGCCGTAACTGTCGTTTGAAGTTTGAACATGACCACTCTACAAAATGCAATGTTCACTTTTGGCCTTATTCATCCACGGTACCCTCAATATCAAGTGGGTCCATGCGTGAACATTTATGATCCTTTATGTATAGATTTTGTTGACGTGCAGGCTTTGCACTTTATAGGACTCTGCGCGCTGGGTAATCTAGCACTTCTTTAGGTTCGGTAATAGATGTAGCAACCTTGTTGGCTTGCCAATGGGCATTGCAGGAAAGTCATCCACTCCTGTCTCGACGAATGTGCCTGCCTTACGGCATGGGGAAGTTCCACCAAGCGCCCACCTGTATCCCCAACCCGTATCTGGTGGCCCAAAGAAACCGGGACAGAAGAAAAATGCGTCAACACTTTCTGATCTTCGATCGTTTGCATGGCCATTCTAGCCAATTCGGAAATTCTGGGGGGCATCCTCGGGCTAGCATAAAGCAGCTGCAAGATACTGACGCCAACACCAAGCGGCCGTTGCTCAAATCGGGTCGGAAGCACATCACTATTCCCAAACCATGTCAAACAAAATTCTAAGATATTCTAAGAATGAATTGAATCGCGTGGTGTTCACTAAAAAGTGTGTGCACGCACGCGTTCCAGGGCTTGAACTGCACATCTTCTGAGACAAACGACGGCACCTTGTGGAAAAGCTGAGCTCTCAGAAGAGGAGTCCTTGCTGCTCGAGGAAGGGGTCCAGCTCTGTGAGCGTGTCAAAACCGGAGTGGTCGATCTCACACTGATGTGAAGAAAGGTGTTCCTGAGAGAACGAGCCAAGCACAGTGCCCACACACCATCAAAAATGAGGTGGGATGTGAGACATCTTGCTTGGTCATTGACACGGTCAAGTGCAACAAACTCTCTGTTTCATGGCATGGGGATAGCCAAAGCATGCGTAAGCAACTGTGTAAGAGAACACGACTGCATAGGGCAACAGCAAGGAATACAAAGGCGAATGCAAACACCTGCACCTGGCAATTCTTTTAGTTCAGTGACCGTTGATGACCGTTGTCTTGCCGACACACCCATGACAAGGACAGGATGAACTCTCTCTCGTCCCGAACTCGACAAAATAAACGTACCGCGAAAACGCGGGACGTTCCTTGCGTCCAGGGTTCCGATTTTCAAAGTCAATCTCATAATCATGTACTTGGTCCTCCATCGCCTCCCCCATGGCGCTCGCCCGCCCCTTTGGGGCGGGCGGAAAAGGTGGCATGGATTATATAGGTTTGAACAACCTGCATCAGGCTTAAATGTCACATGCTCCACTGAAGAACTCACTTGTGACATGATTGATCTCCTAAAAATGTGCAACAATCTATCGACATCTTGATCTTGAAGCAAGATTCGCCTTTGCACTGCCCCAGTTTAGGGGCTTGAGGTAAATCAGCCAGCCACGATCTTGGTTCGCCACATGGACATGGGGACCCCAGATTGCACCTTCGATCCTGAATGCCTGGATGATGTGCGAGTCGCGACAGCCACTACTTCGGCGCTTGCGCGAGCGTGATGAGCTCGTTGGGAAGAAGTCCCCCCCCGGATCTGTGACGATGCGGAATGGCCACGCTGGTTCCAGGCATCCTATACAGTTACAGTATATAGTAAGTAGATCCCCGTGGCTACCGAGGACAGAGGTCGGCGCCATTCATTTTGTAAAAAACGGTCAAATCTACAATGGGTTACAAAAGGTCAGAAGTCTTTCCGAGTCATTAAGTTATTTAAAATTGAAACAGTCCATTCTCGTCAACGTAATCTAAAATGGGTCTGGAAGTCTTGATTTCAGAAAAGTGACCATGACGGAAATGGCGTCATGAAACATTCATGACAAAATGACACATAGGGCGACTTTATCAAACTTTGCTATATTAAAGCGTGAGCATTCTGTTTCCTCAGGCTTGAACATTTATGAACACTTCAAAGCTTCAACATGAGCAATTTCTGTGCCAGATTTCCTTAGCCTAATGAGGATCGAAAACAGCCGAGAACACGTCAAACCTCACAGTTCGCGGCCGCCCTGCCCGAAACATTCCCAAACCGCTGTTCCGCTGTTCCCTTCGCTGTCAAGCTTCGGAGACACACGATCCATGGAAAAAAACATGAAAAAACAGGGATGTATAATGAGTTATAACGATACATAATGATGCGATTATATATAATTCGCTCACGATCGTTCACGACTGCATCTCTCAAAAGCGCATTTTGTAAAAGCCTTCCTACAATAATAGAAGTACGATACTGTGTGCAACTCTAGCTCGCTACAAGTACTGTTGCTGACTTACGATACAGTAACTGGTAGTTGCTGTGCAACGTTGTGCAATTGTTACACATGCTACTCTTGCTGTGCCACTGTTCCTTACACAGCTCTTACCGTGCAACTGTTGCTTACTTTCTAAATGTCCGTAAACACGGACGTTTCTCCTCCTTTGAAAACAGGCGCGGGCATGCGCAGGCCAAACATACAGTAGTTTAACATCCGGCAAGAACCAAGAGATTCTCAGCGGCTGCATTGGCACTGTTACTGTTTCTTGGCCGAGGGCAAACTCGTCACGTCAACTGCTTGAGAGTGCGGCACGGCTGCCCCAGCAACGCAGAGCTGCTGGAGCGCTGTTCTCATGATGCTTTGTGAACAGCACTGCAGGAGCGGATGCTTTGCTTTTCGAGTGGCACGTTGCCATGGAAAACACCGTTCCGAATTTCTTGTGCACACGGATTCTGGATGCGTGAAACCATCAAAGGATTCCAATGACAGCAACTGTCCAAACAAAGCCATTGGACCTGGTGGCTTGACAGGGCACAATGGTCCACACAAAAATGGGCTGACAAAGGAAATCCTGCGCGATCCTCCTACGTAGCCTCAGCTGCTCTGCGGCAAGGCTGGTGCTAGGGTGTTGCCAATGTTGGCAGCAAAAGTTGAGTTATCCTGCCTCATAAGCCTCAGAACTCAAGATATCCTGGAGGCAAATTTCCGCAAACATGCACACAAACGCAAACAGCGCGTAAAATTCGCTTAGTAAGATTTTGCAACCTCACCTATTCGCTGAGCAGCCTTCAAGAAGACTTCTGAACAGGTCCCTGCAGTCCCCGTGACAACATGAAGTGCAAATGGCAAACACATGTTAAACCGGAGGTAGGTTGTAGGTCAAAATGTCAAGTCCCAGACCAAGGAATTGACCACTGAAAAAGTCCTTTCGCCGCGGAGAGTGGCTGCCAACAATGAACCATACTGAACCGCAGGAGATGTCCTAACTCCAGATCATGCTGGGAGATCGGCAGGGCAGTAGAAGGTCACCTGAGTGATTGGCTTCCAATGAAGTGCGGCTGAAGGCAGTACAGTAAAAATATGTAAGGATGTAGGAGGGTATTTGAACATTTTTGAACTATTTAGCTACTGCCTCACCTTGTCACATTGGATGAGGATTCCAAAGCATCTTAAAGCAATCCCGGAGCAAAGCTTTCTGCGTGTCTTCCACCCAAAAGGTGCCACACCGTGTAGTGCGTCGCAGATGAGCACCGCATCAAGCCGGTGCCGTCGTCGTAGGCATAGCCATAGACCTAGGAAGGAATAGAAACCAATGGATTGAACGATATCAGAAATACAAAATCTGAAGATGGTAGACGGTTGATCCGACATTACAAGACATCTCTTCTCCAATTATTCTTCCAAGATTTGAGCATCTCAAGAGGTTCGAAGTGCACGACAATCTGAAGTGCTTCAGAAGGGCCGTTGTTCATGTTTTTAGACAACCACGCCAAACGCAACAGAACCCAATGATATACAGTATTGGTTGGGTCACCGTGTTGAGACAAGCACCTGTTTGCCATCATCCATCTCTACGGCTAAGACTATCGGGCCTGAACTCAACCGAAGGGTGGGTGCCCCAATTCTTCAGGAGCAAAAGTATTGGATCCTAGCGAACCACAACTTCTTGAGGCTGGTTTGGCCCTCGCAAAACTCTACTGCTTTCAGTGAAAACTCTCGGACATGACATGATCAATCCAAACAGGGAAGATCTTGGAATAAGACTGCCACACGAACGAACATGTGTTGGGAGCCAATGGCTTGTCTTGATGAAGCATAACTGGCCCTGTTTCTTGGCATCTGACCCCAGGACACTTCTCGTGCACGGTCTTCAAGAAGCTGGTCCTGGTGATCCTGGGTCCCAGCTTGCTCCAGGGCCGACGAACCATCGAACAATTCCAACGATTCAATCACTGCTTTGCAAGGTTTTATTTTTTTTCCTTTTTTCCTTCCGGTGCTTTTGGAATGTTCAATACATCTAACAATTCCAATGACGTTTTGTATTTTTTGTCTGGTCTTATCGTCTTGTTCGACTTCCTGCACAAACACTCATGCACCAAGCCACGGCCCTGCCCGACATGACTCTGGCGTCTGTGGAGGAGTGGGGCAGCAGTAGGGAGAGACCTGTGGCAGTAGGGAGGCACCGTCTATCACCATCTATAGATCCGGTTTAAACAATGGTTAAAGAACCAACTTACCAACTGCTCAAACCCAAAAAACACTGACATCGGGCAGGTGAAAGATGTAATTCTAAAACTCAATACTTATTGACCACCAGTGAGTCCAAGCAGTTCTCCCTGCCCCAAGTGCTTGAGACAACTTGGCACGTGGACAACCTGTATTCCTTGGACTGATCGCCTGGATGATCGCCTGGTAGCCTCATTAATATAAACGATGTTTTTGCTAGGCTATGATGCGATTCCTCTTACTTGAGAGCCGACACGCAGTATGACCCTCTATGATTCTATGCATCTGACTACCCAAACGGAGTGGTATTATATCAATCTGCACCTTGTTCTAAAGGCGAAAGAACATGAACCTCCGGTGGTGACATGTATGACAGATCCACAGTCTCGCCTCGCTCTCTTCTGGCCGCCGACCACTAGAGCGTTCCTGTGTGTTTTTCGGGTGTGCCCAACCTTTCCAGTTGACTCCACTGGCAGTGTGATCCTATAGAAGGACTCTTAGGTGGGAGAGCTCTTGGAAAAAGATTCGCTAGGTCTAGGTGCTCTCGATGGATCTCCATTCAGTGCGGTGTCTGTCCGTCTCTCTCTCTCTCTCTCTCTGGCGGGCATGACTCGTCCCGGAGTCGTCTCACTGTCTATGGTTGTTATGGCTGGATGTTCATGTTTCGAACCGGCGAAACTCGCCGAGTCATGGAGTTGAAGAAAGACATCAACTTCCCTGTTTGTTTATATACGTTTTGTTGGTGGCCGCCTGAAGCCTACAACCTATAAGAGTTTGCTGGAGAAAAAGCCATTCATGACAAGGGTCCCCCCACAGTTCTTCAACCAACTTCTTGTGAAATGATGCCAAAAAAGCCACGGGGATCTTTTAACTCGCCTCTTCCATGAAAATCATAGGTCCAACAGGGGCATCTCCATCAAAACTGCTGTGCCCCCCAAGCTGCCAGGACTCCGCTTGTTGCGCTCTCCCCCTCTCCCCGTTGCCTGATTGCTCCACTTGGTGTCCAAGAGCTTGCTGCACGGACTGTAGCATCCAGAAACCTGCAAATGAATGCGTGGAACGCTTGGCACACGAAAATGGATTGATAAACGAACGGATGGATCCTCAGAATCCGCAACATCAGTGACATTCCATTGCGCATATTTATTGTGGGTTGCTCCAACAGCGACACGTGTCCAGAATCACAACAAATTCTGTCGCGCCTTATGAGTCTTTGGATTGATGGCCCGCAAATCTGCAGTGAAACCTCCCACGCACAAGGCGTTGCCACTTGGCCTACGTTTTCCTGATGCGCACCTACCCACTCCAAATCGAAGGATTTTGCCCTGGAAGTAATCAATCTGAACATATTCCTTTACACATTAACAGTTCTTTCATGCTCTTTCCACATCCGTGCATGTGTGAACAGCTTGAAACATCTTGAGACAAAGGCACCTGCTGCTGTGAGGTGCTCAGCTGCAGGGCAAGAGTTCAGCGAGAGCCCCTCACAGTCTAAGACCTGGGGCACCCGAAACCAGGCCGAAACCACACGGATCACCGGATCCGGGAAGAGCTGCTAGATCGACATTTTCATGGCAATTCCGATCTTTTAGTGGCTCACTGAACATGTGATTAGCTTCAACGAAATCGGCTAAGCTTCCAACATCGACCTTCTGGTCCGTGGCAGTTCTACCTTGACATCCGATCAAGCTCTGAGACCCGCTGCGTCCCGCGAAGGCGCAACGCTCTTTAGGCTTTCTGGTCTTGACACTCACTAATTATATAACACATATTAACACACCCTCCGACTCACTAACATGGAAGTAGAAGATTGCCGTTTGGATGACTATTCCCTTCTACAAAACAGGTGGTTTTCCACTTCCCTCTTCGTGAGTCAGAGGGTAGACCTTTACCGTGCTGCTGCAAGGTCCCATATTAGTTCCGGCAAGTTGCAGTCACCCTGAATGTCGAGTTTCACGGGCAAAGTCCAGCCATCCACCAAGCTGATGTCCACATAATCGCAGCCCTTCCTGAGCGCTTCAGCCAATGGATTTGCTGTGCAAGTGGTTTCCACGGAGACTGCCATGCAAAAACAACATGAATCAACATACATCATTATCGTCAAATCAGCCGATCCCTTAGAATCCTTGTGGAAAAGGATCAACGGCTGGTTGATGTTTATGGTGGGACCTCCCACAAGCCTTGGTCCCGGACATCTCTACCCCTCCTGGAGTCTTCGGATTGCAGGGTGCGCCATTCTCACCAAAGCTCCTCGGAAAGCGCAAAGAAACGGAACAACATGTTATGTTATGTAATGTTTATGTCATGTTGAACAGGTTGCAAATTTTGTACAGTTATTGGGCTCATAGAAGCTGTCTTTGGAGAGCTAGGTCCATGTGAGAGGCGGTTGAAAGGTTTGCCCAATAACCAGCACATCCACCATCTCCAACGATGGAAGGATCAACATGAGCTAGCCAAACTGGCTCCCTTTCCAACTCTTCCAAAGCAACTCATAGCAAACAACTCAGTCATGCATTACTGCATTACCATCAAGCCTTAGTGTGTCTTGCCCGTGCCTACTTCCACCCCCCATAAAAGGCACGCCCATACAAACCGAGTTTTGCACAAACTGCAAAGCCGTGGGCGAACCAAGGGTCGCTTCGAACTTGGTGTCCACTGGCGGAGCGCAGTTCTTGTAGTCTTCCTGCACATGCCGGCATGCCGAGGAGGTTGTAGAAGAAAACAACCTAGAGTCTAGAGGCTATGACATACTAGATTCACATACTATATATTTGTATTAATAAATAGATGTATGTATATATATATATATAAAAACTCGCTTGGTCCTTTTCAATGCGCCCCGCAGTTAGGTCAAAGATTAAATCACACTCATGGAAAAACGTAGACTGGCTTCTAGTTCACTCCCCCGTGAACAGAGGTCCGCAAACCTCAGGGACACCACAAATCTTAACCTCGCCAGACCAGAGGAAAAGATTTGCCTCCCTTTACCTCCCCCGGGCCCCTCGCCATACCGAGAGCCCGGAGCCAGGTATGTTTTAAAACATGAAGTCAGCTACATCAAAAACCGAAATTAAGACCTGCCCCCCACCCTTTCCACGTCCCCCTTTTCTGCGCCTTGTGCGCGCGCTCAAGGGTTCTGGGGGTGTGGACTGAGAGTGAAACACACGAGAAAACGGGAGGAGGGACTTATGGGGCAAATGCAATTCTGCTAAAACTGACAGGCCTTCGTTAATGTATATCCGGGCCGTGCGTGCAGCTTGCCAACGGCCAGCAACCAGGAGTCTGTCGAGACTCCCGTGCTTGGAAAACCAGAAAGTCGAGCCCCCTCGCCTGAGGGAGTAGGGTCTGAACTCAAAGAGATTCAGCTTCAAGTCGGTCAAACAAGTCTTAAACATTTTCCTCCAGGTGGAGGCTGACGGGCATAGTGACGCTCGAGGGCTGTTTCGACATTTCCATTGCCACAACCACTTCAAAGCGACAGCTGCAGTCAATGTCACTGACTCGGCAGCACCGGTTCTCTTACCTCCCTTTGTCAGACCTAAGCTAATCACCGCAGGCGAATTAGCAGAACTCATGCTAATGTCAGAATTCCGAATTCCCAACACCTCACCTGTCCTTAGCATGGCATAGAAACACAGAAGAATGGAAACTGAGAAATTAAAATGCCCATGGAAAAATCCGCAGCCGGCCACGGCCAAAATGGCCTGCTCTGGGAGGGGCGGAGCCCTGTTTGGAATTTCCTGAGTATTCCATGTTTTCATCAATCTCCAAGTCTGTTGGAAATGCCCCTTAAGCTTTGGATCCAGGTCTTGCAGCCCCGCAATCGTGTCGGCGGCGAGCCCACGGCCCTCGCCCTCTGACCACAGAAACTCAACATATTCTGAAACTAAGGCATCAAGCTGGTCACGTCTAGTGGGGATCTCAAGCTGGTTCTTATGCAGGAAGTCGTAGAAACGTTCCCTGGCATTCTTGTAGCGTGCATTTGTTTTACTTGACACTGTTAGACCCTTCAACGGCCCCAAGGCCCTGCGCTGTTGCCTCCTATCTTCTCTGCTACGGCCCTCTAACACACGAGCTCTTACTTTAGCCATTTCTTTCGCACCGGCCGCCTGCTCGGGCGGTCCGCAGGGTTCAGTGATGTGTGTATGTACCCCCGAAGGGGGTGCAGGTCCGCAGCAAGCAGATAGGAATTTAGTTGCATAATGATGGGTCTTAGGCGGCGACTAGAGCTCCTACCCCTAGTGAGTGCGTGCAGGCAAACTAGGCTGTCCGTTAGGTGAAGGAAACGCATCCCTATGCGCTTGCACCTCCAGATCTTCCATTTGACACTAGTCAGGATGGCTCGTAGTTCTAGCCCGTTTATGTGTTCAGCTGAATGCTTCCAGCGCCATCCACTGATCTCACGCCACTTCCACATGCGACCAGGAACACTTGCACGCAGTCGAAAATGCCGGGGAGCTGGATCGCTCCCACTTTGAACCATCAAGTCCTCACCTTTCATGGAAGTCAGCCCAATGAGTTTCTTGACAAGTTGCACCGTGTCCGTCTCCTTGACCAGTCCTTGTCATCCATGCAATGGGGGGCGAGTCAACATGGTGGAAAACTCCGGAGCTTGTCCTGGGGTTAGGCTTTGAAGCAACTGGTCAAGTCGGCTCACCTTGCAGAGTCCCAGTGGCACCGTCAGCTGCTGCAGCAGCCAAGCTACTACACCTACCTGCCATGAATTACCTAGAAGGCTAAGTCTAATGTCCTCATAGCCGGCTCCTTGTTGCTGACTCTTAGGCACGCAGTTCTTCGTATACCTTACTGGAAACCCCATACAAGCCTCGCGTTCAACTGAGTCGGGTCGTCTCCACTCACCTCGCTTGTTCCAAAGGCCATTTATGTCTTTGTATTGGTATGGTGGGAACCTGAACTCGTCATTTGCCCAACGCGCCTTCTCATGTTCTTGGCATCCATTGATCCCCGCCGGCCTGCGTCCTGGACTGGCTCGAGGCCGTGACGTGGTGAAGGTGGGGAGGTACCCACCTTCCATAAGGCTCCAACCAGGATGTAGAAAAGACCTGCTGTCACCTTCCCGCACGCACCCCAGGAGCCTTCCTCAGGATGGATAACTCCCGCACCAGGAGCCTCACGAAGCTCCCAAGTCACCCAGTACAAGCGTGGCCTGGAACACAAAGGAAATGCCTCGAGAATCGATTCGGTATGGCACCCGCTCAAACTTGCGGCTCATGAGCGTTCGGTCTGTGTCCGACATCGAGGCCACGTTCTCAACCAGTTCGTGAACCTGTGCCCAATGGAACAATCGCCTGAAACTGGAGGTAATGCGTGGGATCTCTTGGAAGAGACAACTGCGGGCATCTCTTAGTGCTCCCTGTTTGTCAGCATTAAGCCCCGAGACTCCTTGGCATGGTGGTCCGGCTCCTACGACAATCAAACCTACATTACTGTACTTGAGGGATAGTTGGAGCAGTATCTCCTCTTCACCAAAAGTTGTGACATCGGGGTAGAAATCACACTCGGGAAAGAAACTTTCAACCACCCTGTGGCAATGTGGATTCTGCTCAAGACGTGAAACTCTTTTTTCCGCATTCGAACGAACTCCAGACTCAGCTTCGTGAGTCCTCGCCGAAGGAGAACTTGAGGAGATAGCAACAGGCCCTGAAGCCCCAAATCCAGCCAAATGATTGAGCGCCATGAGGGCCCCTTGAGCCGCCTCCTCAGTCAGCCGGCGCGGAGCTCCCTCCTCCTCAGGCCCCTCCATCCTCACCGTCCGCAGTGGGAACAAAGGGTTCCGCCGATCCGGAGGGCTCTCCTTGTAGGAGCGCATTGTAATAGTGCCATCTTGTCTTAATACGCTAGCTGACTTCTTGATGATGTCATGCATGCTCAAGCCAGGAGCCTTAGCATCTCGCTTTTTTTGCTCCCGTCCCAAACTTCTTCAATTCGGCGGCTACCACCTCCCTGCCACTTGGAGGTTGCGGCCCTGTACCAGGAGCGTGCCTCACTCCCGAGTGAAACTCCTCTACTGCTTCTTCTTGCCATCGCCCTTGTCTCGCTTGCCCTTCTCCTTGTCGCGGTCCTTGTCTTTCGTCTCGCCCTTCTCTCCCTTGGTCTTTCCTTTCTCTTTGTATCGATCTCTGTAGTCCGGGAATCTCCCGGTGGCCTTGCCGTAGATCTTGTTCTCCTCGTGCGCTGTCCTGCCAGCCTGATGCAGTTCGCTCGAGCTCGCCAATCCTTAGTTGTCCACCCGGATCAACTCCAGCCGACTTTCATGCCTTTCGCCAAAGCCTCCAGTGACTTGAGTCGTTGGGACATCACGTCGCAGGCCGACGCCACCTTCCCCTGGACCATCAGGTCCAGGGTGGCAGCCCAATGGATGGCTTCCCGGTAAATCACCGGCGACATGGCAGCTCCCATTTGTTGCCTCACATATTGCGATGTCAGCGGCTGTAGTGGTCCCGGTGTAGAGGCCATACCTCCCATCTGTAGTAGCATACTTCGCTGCGCATCTTGAAGCAACTGGGCTGTCAAAACGCCCGGCAGTCGCTCCCACATCCTCTGGGTGCTGGTCTGAGGCGTGAACAACTCCCCGAAATAGTCCTCTCCTTCGCTGACCTTGCTCGAGGAGTCCGAACTCTCCGAACTCCCGCTCGCTGAGCTGTCCTTGTTCCGTCCCTTTTTGGTCAGCTTCTTGGCCCGGCGTCTGAATCGCTTCCGCTTGAAGGGGGTCCGCATCCATGCCGGTGTTCTTGAAGAGCACTGTGAGGTCCTTCACTCCCTCTATCTTCAACTTTGCCTTCTTCTTCTTTTTCTTCTTCTTTTTCTTCTCCTCCGAATCCCCCGAATCGCCAGGGGCTTCGACCTTCTCTGCATCGACTCGGGCTTCCGCTGGAGCTCCTCGTCCCTTTCCTCTGGCGGCGGCTTCTTCCCGGACACTCTCCAGCTCGTCTCTCTCTGCCTCGGCTCTGCTGGTCTCTAAGTTCTTCTCCCAGGCCACCTCTCCTGTACGATGTCTCTTCACTTGGGTGACATGGAGTAAACCATCCGCCCAAGTCCTCCGGTCGCATAGATGAAGACGGACGGCTTTTGATGCCACCCCGCTGACGTACCTGAGCAGGGCCTCGCTGGATGTCCCCGTAGCCTTGCCTAGGAGCTCGCGATCGCCTCGGGTTGCTTTCAACTCGATCATCTCCACGATGCAGTCGGCTGCCTCCTCCCAATACTCTCCTTGTACTCGGATCAGAGGCCACGCTTCCATCTGTGCCAAGGTCACCTCCTCCGCTGGCACCCAAGGCGCCTCGTCCTCCACCACCAGGGCGGCCGGTCGCCGCCTCACGACCCGCGGCCACCCCGCCTCTGCTGCCGCCTGCGCCAGTACTCCTGATTCCTATACGTGTGCTTTTTGCCGTTGGACTTCTTCTTCTTGGGCCTGTTCTTGAATGCCAAGATTGGCCCAATCCAGCGACCTCTCCCGAATCCAGGAGGCGGCCCAGGCGGCTCCTGGGGCCTTGGTCGCTCCTCCTCCGGCTCTCTCCTCTCGACCTCACCTTCCGGGTCCGGCTCAACCTCCTCGCTCTCTCCTTCCTCTTCAGGGGGATCTGTCTGTGGTGCAGGACTCGGGGTAGGTGTTCTCGGCCTACGTCGCCTTTCTCTCCTCCTGATCTGCTCCTTGACCTCCGGGGTTTGGCAAGTTCCTTTGGTCGCAAGCCTTGAGGATCTGCTTTCTTGTCTTCCTTAGACGACCTGGATTTCCGGTCCCCTTCACGATCCTTCTCCTTATCCTTCTTTCGCTCACGTCTCTTCTCCTCCACGTCGACCAAGGGCTCTTTCTTCTTCCTTGTCTCCTCGTCGGTCGGCTGCTCCTCCTTGACCTCAATCTCTGTAGCGGTGCTTTCTCCGTCTCGAGCTGCTCGCTTCCGCGGCCTGATCAGGGGTGGCAGACCCCGACCTCTACCGCTTGTTCCGCCCTCCTCTTTTCCAGGCGGTGGGACTTCTCGCGTCCCTGTACTCCCAGGAGCGTCAACTCCCGAGTTCTCAGGAGCCTTAGCTCCCGTGCCAGGAGGCTCCACCTCCCGTGCCGCACCAGGAGTAGCTCCTGCTCCTCCCGCAGCTACCACAGGCGGTCCTCCAGCGCCCAACCTCTGCTGTGCACCCAGCGCCTGTTCGAGGATGCGAGTGTAGGCGCTCTCCAAGATGGGGACCGCCAACCGCCTGGCTTCCTCGCTCGTGCCAGGGCTAAGTACGAAGCCGGATAGCCTCGCAACTATGGCACAGCAGGGGCACCTACAGTTAGCCAAGTCGTGGGCTAACCTGGCCATACGCTGAAGCCAGAACACTGCAATGAAACATGAACCATGCTCGTTTTAACCTACGATACGAAGGACCATATGCACATGTATGATGATATACGAATAACTGAACACTCTACCTTGATTTGTTACAAGTTGCATCAAGTTGCTAGAATAGGGTATAATATAGTCATAGTCTTGCATAATAGAATGCCAAGCGAACAGCTCCCCATAATCTTTGATGAACCACCCAGGGTCAATCAAAAGGGTCTCCAGTTTTAAATGGCTTCCGTACATGTTGCAAGGCCGTCCAAGTCTTTGCTCCATCCTCTATGTCCGGGTCCTGCCCGGTGACCGGGTTGAACTGACAGCTTTGCCCTGGCCCTCCGCTGCTGCCGATGGCACCTAGGACAACATGGGCAGGGCCCAAGAATCTGAGCCGAACCATTCTTTCACCTCTTCATCATCTCTCATGCAAATCTATCGGTGTACGAACCACACTGGGTTGGCACAGTCTCTGCTTCTTCCCTTCACCAACGACCCAGTGGCAGTTGTGACCAGACTCATCGCAGCCCATCCTCGGAGACGCGCGCCGTAAGAAATAGGGGTCACTTGGAGGGGCAATGTTGCCCAACTTTGCAACATAACATTGCACAGTCCAGACCACAGAATCATGGACTTCCATCGTTTCAAACCATGCTACTGTAACACGCTGAGTGACTTCCATTTTGGTAGAGTGAGTGGTTGCTGTGGTTCTTTCATTCAAGCCTTCTTCTTCTGTGCGTGTTTGGTATCTTCTTGCCAGTGCTGGCTGCTAGTTTGGAGCTCTGCGCTGACACCCGGAAGAACTTCATCAAATTGGACTTTGAACATATTCGTAGGTGCCTGTGTCCCTATAAAACCCTCCATGATCCTCGCACTCGCGATTTGCAAGTACATTTTACCTTTGAGATCTCGCACGGGCCTCAGAGTGTTCGGCAGAAAGCATGGGGGCCCCCATGTTCATCAACCTTCAACAAAGGCACCCCCACACTACAAACAAACATGTCATGAAAGTCTCTGGGAAATTAGTCCTGGTGCCCACACATCATGGGGTGCTGAACCGTCCATCTGTTCCAACCGCATTTGTCGTCGCCGACATCAGCATGGACGCTTAAGTTTCGGCCCGAGCATCTTGGGCCAAAAGCGTGTGGCCGACAAATGACTGGGAGTTGGGAAGTCGTGAAAACCACCCGGCGCAATCCTCACCTCGCGAAGAAGATGTCTCACGCAAAAGGGAGACGATTGCATACGATTGTTCCCATTACATGATCGCGAAATGTGGAGGTGAAATACTATTGGTTGCGTGCATCTCTTCATTCAAAACACCACAGTGTTTTGATTTGTTTTGCCCTTGGCATTTTAACGCTTTCCAAACCTCCCAGCATAGCCTTTAGCATCTTTAGCCGAGGCGCATTCTGGTCAGGGCCGCTGCCTGCAGCGATTGCATGAGCAATCCACATCCTTAGCATGTTTTGGCTGAGTCGGGTTATGGCTTCAAAGACCCAATCAGTATGCCCGTTTCACTTGTTATAAGCCGGTTGAACCCTACGTGGGTAGTATGCGCACGTTTGAGCATGATTCTCTCTCGGCACCTGATGCCGAAACAATCCGCAACATCTGACGTCAGTCAAGAGACGGCTGGCTGTGGCAGCCATTCACAATCCTGAGAATTGACCGGCTTACTTCGACCATTTTCCGAATAGCGACCAAGCAAGTGGGTTTCGGAGTTCGGTCCTCTGTGGGTTTGGAGTCTATCAGAACTACTGGGCATCTCTCTTTCCCTTTCGGGCTCCGCTTTGGGGCGTTGCACCAAGAAGACGCCCCAGGACAGCAAAAGGCCCTGTAGTGAATGGGTGCCCAACCAAATATCACCAATCATGTCCATACATATATATATATATACATATTGTATATATTATCAAAAGTCACAAGTCAAGCCACCGCAATCTCCTCACATCTTTAGCGCCTGCGGACTGTCCTTGCGTCGGCCGGTGGCATGGACAGTCATGCTGGACTGGCTCATCTGTCCACTGTCGGAGCAAGAGCAACCGCTTGTGAAGCACAAACAGCTGCTGGCTGCAAACCAGTTCGGAAAAACACGGAAAGCGGAGCAGCTGCATTTTATTGCTGGGTAGTCGGACCTCTTTTTTTCATGGCTTTAACGGTGTTGTACGTACACTACGCAGAAGACCACCTGCCCAAGTCGAACGGCAGAGAAAACAAGTATATAACATTACACTTGTCGGACCTAAGTCTGTCGGGTTTTTACGATGTTATACGCACATGACGCAAAAAGACTACCTGCCCAAGTCAAACGGCAAAGAAAACAGCCAAGTGGACGAACATCGCCGCAAAAAAGTAAAATAACAGCAGCAAAGCCTTCAACATAGATCCCACAGCCCCAATCACTTCCAACATACCTCCACGAGAAGCCCCAACAGAGCCCCAACATTGGGCGAAACGTGCCAACATGGAGAAGGATATGCCCCAAGAATGCACCAAGATCGCCGAAGATTGGTGCAAACATGCCCCAAATTTAACTGCCCATTGGAGCAAGCTTTCGTAAGCAACAAAAACGACAAAAAAACTGTCAAAGCCACCTTTCTTACACTTGTCAGACCTCATTTTCATGGATTTATGGCGTTTTAATTTACGCACAGTACGCAAAAAACCACCTGCCAAGTCAAACAGCAGAGAAAAAGCAGCCAAGTGGACCAACATGGCCGCAAAACATAACAGCAGCAAAGCCTTCAACATAGCCCTGATCTAGACCCCACGGCCCCAATCACTTCCAACAACCTCCACGAGAAGCCTCAAGAGAGCCCCAACATTGGGTGAAATGTGCCAATATGGAAAAGGGTATGTCCCAAGAATGCACCAAGATCGCCGAAGATTGGCACAAACATGCCTCAAATTTGACCACCCACTGGAGCAAGCACGCATAAGCAACAAAAACGACCAAAAATTGTCAAAACCAACTTTCTTACACTTGTCGGACCTCATTTTGCATGGTACATACTTTTCTATAGTGACTATAGTGCTTTACACACACTACGCAAAAGACCACCTGCCCAAGTCAAACCGCAGAGAAAAAGCAGCCAAGTGGACCAACATGGCCGCAAAACAAGTAGCATAACAGCAGCAAAGCCTTCAACATAGCCCTGATCTAGACCCCGCAGCCCCACTCACTTCCAACATACCTCCACGAGAAGCCTCAAGAGAGCCCCAACAT